GGCGGGAGGGGGAGGGCGGCGCATGTGCGCGTGCAGACAGCGGGTGCAGATGTAGGAGACGGGGGAGGCGGTGCTGGGAGGGAATAGTTTTCGTGTAATCATTTTGACCTCTTTTTTTACCGGTAGAGGTTTCAAAAGGGGGAGTGACTTGTGGCGGGGTATGAGCTTGAGCTCTATGCCATCTGCGATAATGTTGAAGAGATGAGTAGAGATACGATAGCGCGTGGCCAACTCTGCCGTGAAGACTGAAGCAAATGGCAAATTGGAAATGGAAATGGAGCTGGAATACCCTTCGGGTCGGCTCAACTAAAATCCGAGATACTAGCTCCTTGCCTTATTAGGAAGTCATTTACATCTCACATCGAACCTCACAACTTTTTCCTCTTCCTCTTCCTCTTCCTCGTCCTCGTCCTCCTCTTCCTACTCCTACATTTACGCCTATGCTCGAGACCCGTAAGGCCACAAGCTTACCACTACCTTCAGCGCCGATCCCGGTCCTCATATATGTATCCATTCTGAAGCAGCCAGCACCTTCATTCTGTCCTCAATCCTTGTCTTAGCCTATTCTCAATCCTCTGCTCTTGATGTCCCCTTTGACTTCCCCTGTGAAGCGAGTCTAGAAGAGAAGATTACATGTAATACTTTAGTCTAGACTTTGAGTCCTCCTCTGTACCTGCGAGTGAAGAGTGTCCTACCAGCACCCAGCCAAGATGGCCGTCTCACCACTTCTCCCCCGTTCGCCCTCCAACATCAATGCCAACATCAGCCCCGCCAAGGCAAAGCCTCTCACGGTGCGGAACTCGTCGTCAGCATCAACATCTGGGAAACCAACGCAGCCGAAACAAGAATTCGACCTGGCTGAGAAGATGAACGAGGAGATTGCAAGCAAATATGTCAAAGGTATGTCTCTCTGAATTTTGTAGTCACTGTCTTCCCTACGTACTTGGTACCCTTATCGGTTCTTTGCTTTCGCACAGCCTCAATCTGAACTTGAACTTCCTCGCCAACCCAATGAATCCAATGTTGATTACCCACACCCCACAACCAGGCAAAAAACTCGGCGAAGGCACCTTCGCGCTCGTCTACCGCGGCCACCTCCGCTCCGATCCCAACCACGTGGTGGCGATCAAGAAATTCAAGATCCCATCCCAACCGGAACAACGCTCCGAGGGTCTCAACGTCGACTCGATCCGCGAGATCAAGTACCTGCAAGAACTCTCCCACCCGTCCATCGTCGCCCTCCTCGACGTCTTCTCCACCAAGGACGAAACCATCAACATGGTGATCGAGTACTTCCCCAACGGCAATCTGGAACAGCTGATCAAGGACCAGAGCGTCGCCTACGGCGCCGCCGACGTCAAAGCGTGGATGGGGATGCTGGGCCGCGCCATCTATTTCTGCCACGCGAATTTCGTGCTGCATCGCGACATCAAGCCGAATAATCTGCTGATTGCGGCGGATGGCGAGGTCAAGTTGGCGGATTTCGGGCTCGCGAGGGGGTTTGCCGATCCCTATGCCAACATGACGCATGTGGTTATCACGTTGTGGTATCGACCGCCTGAATTGTTGTTTGGAGCGAGACATTACAGTGGCGCGGTGGACGTGTGGAGCATGGGGATGGTGTTCGCGGAATTACTGCTGCGCGTCCCCTACGCGGCGACGATGAGCGACAAGGAGATCGCACAGCTCGAGACCATCTGCGAGGCGGTGGGCACGCCGAATGAAGAGAATTGGCCAGGCGTCAGCTCGCTGCCGAACTACATGGAGATGGACAAGCAGGTCCCAGTCAGGGGGAGGGATTATTACATGGCCAAATTCCCGACCGCCGGGGCTCAAGGGGTCGATCTCTTGATGGCAATGCTGAAACTGGATCCCAACAAAAGGGTCACGGCGAAGCAGGTTCTGGAGCATGCCTGGTGGCGGGTCGAACCACGGCCGACGGATCGAGAGAATCTGCCCAAGCAGGGTGGTGGAGCGGAGAAGATGGGCGAGGATGTGGCGCGGCAGCCCGGTGTTTTGGCGGATCATGACAAGTTCCAGGGAGTGGCCAGGAGGCTGGATTTCGCTGCGTTGAAATGACAAGATAGACATCTGCTAACTAGAGCGTCTGCCCCGAGCCATGATGCGTCTCTTAATACGGACCGCTCTACAGCACCCGAGCAACGATGGATCATAGAACTTGGCAAAGAAGAAGCGACAGATCCTTCCAACCAAACCCCTTCCACTGCAATGCAATGCAACACAAAGTCTCGCTGCTGCTGCTGCTGCTGCTGCTGCTGCTGCGAAACTATCGCAGCCGGGCCGAGAAAACAGAGACACCGGCAGGAGTCCTGCGCTGTCAAAGAATATAGGAAAAAGAGCCTAGACAGGAAGGACCCTAGATGATACTGCTTGTCCAACCCATCTTCCTTACGCTAACGAACGCACACATGCACCTCCAGCTCCAGCTCCACCTCCGTTTGCTGCTCGGGGATAACCACCAGCCCCATCCACCTACGGATGACGATGAAGAAATAATCCTAAATTCTAAATCCCCATGAGGATGGTTCATGCTGTTCAACCAGGGCAACAGACAGACAGACAGACAGACAGACAGACAGACAGACAGACAGACAGACAGACAGACAGACAGACAGACAGACAGACAGACAGACAGACAGACAGACAGACAGACAGACAGACAGACAGACAGACAGACAGACAGACAGACAGACAGACAGACAGACAGACAGACAGACAGACAGACAGACAGACAGACAGACAGACAGACAGACAGACAGACAGACAGACAGACAGACAGACAGACAGACAGACAGACAGACAGACAGACAGACAGACAGACAGACAGACAGACAGACAGACAGACAGACAGACAGACAGACAGACAGACAGACAGACAGACAGACAGACAGACAGACAGACAGACAGACAGACAGACAGACAGACAGACAGACAGACAGACAGACAGACAGACAGACAGACAGACAGACAGACAGACAGACAGACAGACAGACAGACAGACAGACAGACAGACAGACAGACAGACAGACAGACAGACAGACAGACGGATGGACAGAACGCTTCCACGTGACGAGAGAAAAGCTCATAACATACCACTGTGGACGCGGCGTGGGAGGGCAGAGTAGACGCTGGGTCCCGCGGGCAGAGAATAGCAATAGAAGGCTCTTGGATACAGAATTGATAGTCGCTTTTGACGTTGGGCGGATTTTCAGGCGGAGCATTGACGGCATCTGTGCTCGGTGAGATATACGTAAGTCGTTATGTTGGGCTGCGGATGGTTATTAGGGGTAGACCATGCTAGGGGATAGAGGCTTGTGAGATTGTTTTCACTGCGCTAGGTGGTATCGAATAGTCAAGTTCTATGATGGGCACGCTCTACCTACAGAGAGTCGTAGAGTATGATGAGCACATTCTGATGTATTGTGTGTATGGGAGCACTGACAGCCAACTATCTAGAAGTTGGGTAGTTGCAAATTCTGCATGACTGCTGTGTTACAATCGTTACCTCTCCACAGCGATGTGCCAGCAACACCATAGCACAATAGCATAATGCCCTGGCCGGACACAAGATTGACAGCCACAAAACCCAAACCGGCACCACGGAACGATGGCCAGGCTATAGAGCTGTTGGGTGCTGCATAGTTGCATCAAAGAGTTCTGTGTTGTAGTTGAATAGACGCGCAGGCTCTGCTGGTTCTTTTCCCCATGCCCATCCACGATAAGGACTGTTCTGGTGTGCCACACATGTAGGACAGTTTACCACGGTGCTGCCCTCCAGCGCGGGAATGTCCTCCTGCCATGCTAGCAGAATCCTCTCAGGTTTGTCATGAGCGGCGACTGTTTGCAAGGCGATTACTGACAAGCTACATATCACTTTGGAGAGAGATGTTTGGTAAGCTAACCTGAGTTGCTCCCATTCTTCCCGCCAGAAAGCCGGGTCAGTAGGGCGAAGCATCTTGCACTTTCCACAGTACCGAACGCGTGGTGATGACTGGTGATAGTTGAGGCGCTTCAGCAAACTCTGGCGCTCGTAGACAGCTGCTGCCGGCGACCACTTCGCTGTAATTGACAGTCCACCAGCTGGACAGGTATCCAGCCACGATATTGACTCTGCCAAGTGTTTGTTCGATAGAGCAAGGCAGACACGGTCATGGAGTTCACAGAAGTGGGCAATCTGTGCGATGATTTCGTCTGGCATATCTGTTATCGTGCACTGGGTTGGTTGCTGCTGCTGCTGGCTTCGCAGGATCTGTTCATTCAGAATGCCTTTACTTAGAAAAATCTTTATGTGAAAGGGTCAGTCTCCATGAGATTTTCAAGTTTAAAAGAGCGGCACACCTCTTTTGCGACGGAGAAGATGACGATTCAGCCACTCTGAGCGAATCGCAGGAGTTGTTCGCCCTCGGTGTATCCAAAATCTTCAGATTTGAATTGAATACCAATGTAAGTTGAGCTGACAATGTGTTTGGCTGCCGCTGCCGCTGTCGCTGCCGCTGTCGCTGCCGCTGCCTGAGGATTGTCAACTCAATACTGAAAAGATGGCGAATTTTCCTTGACGTACTGCCTGCTCAGTTGGTTGGTTGGGGAGTGGATGTGCACACTTGCCCAGCAAGCCAGTAGTTCGGAAACTTGGGTCAACCCGAAATAGACAAACTATGTTATTTTCCTTCTTCTCAAGATGACCCTCCACTGGATCGCTCGAAGACTGAGGAAGATTGTCAGCACGGTCCAGAAGAGGCAAAGAAATCTCATGGATTGGGGTGAGGGTGACGACAGTCTTAGATCTATGTGATCTGGTTGCAAGACAAAAGGGGGGAAGGAGGGTGACAGCTTCAAAGATCGGCACGAAAAAGTAGAAGCGGACCAAGGCAGTAGGGTAGACAAGAAGATGTGAATCTCAGCATGTGCCACATACCATTTTCACGTAAGCCACAGTTATACAGGGTAATAGTTTGATTCCTTGTTGACGATAGAAGCCAGTTAGTTGACAGAGAAGCCAGAGTTGACGGAGAAGCCAGAGAAGCCAGAGAAGCCAGAGAAGCCAGAGAAGCCAGAGTTGACGGGGAGCAGGCCCTAATAGTGAACACAAGAGACCTACTGGGACGCAGGCGACAGCATATTCCAAAATAGGCGGGCGGCCAAAAGAGGCTATCTGCGGCAATCTTCGGCAATATTCAATGTCAGTAGCAGCATTCTCTTGCTGCTGTTACCTCTCGCCTTGGAAAAGCCAAACAACCTGCAGGGTCGATATAACGGCGTCCAGGTTTAGTTACTGCCTGTACAAGATCGAAGATGATGAACTTGCAAACGACCTTGAGCTAGCAAGCTACTTGAGCAGAAAAGAGAACAAGAGGTCAGAGTAAGAAGTTGAGAGAAAGGGTGCTGGTTAGACACTTTACTGGCTCGGATGCTTTTTCTGTCTCAGATGCTTTTTCTGGCTTCTCTATACTGTGGTAGACCTGCCTTATGCAATCTTGTCTTCCGGCAGCAGACACTTCACAATCTGCATCACGAAATGACGAGGCCCACCTGTTTTTGTTCCTGTTCATGAAGCAATTCGAGGTAAGCGAACGGCATGGTTTCTAAGAATCACGTATCCAAAGCAGAAACGGGGTGCAAGTGATTGAGCTTCCTATGTTGCATAGGGGGGAATCTGCAATCACTCTGCTCTACCTAAATGACTGTATACTCAGCTTGTTCATAAGTGGCATTTGCTGAGCGCAAGACTCAATACCGCCTATCATCCTGCTCTTGCCTGATTGCCCTAACATCAATACTGGCAGGAAAGGCAGACAACGGAAGTGCAGCAGAGAAAGCACATGGATTTGGACCATCATGAGTGGAGAGCAGCAACGTGACTCAAGAACTTCGTTAGGCTGAGTGCTGCCTTCTTTCAATGACTGGATAAGCATGAGAGTCCTGTGGTAGGGGCTTGCTTGCAGCAGATCTGTTGACTTGCAAGACCAAGACATTAGCAGCTTTTCAACCATGGTCTCATCAAAAGATGCCCGGTATATTAACCCTGGTTGGTCACTCCACCGCAGTCTGTAGCAATCAAGGAGCTTTGCGTTATGAAGTAGGGTGATGGGAGCATCGTTAAAGTGGTAAGATTCACAATTGATATGAGAAAGAAGGAGGACGCCAGGCTCATGTAACTATTCTTGAACAGGCATAGTCTGTGATCACTATTCTTGGCATTTCAATCGGTGGAAGAAATGATAATCATTATATTGAGATAGACATTCAATTTCAAATCCTCAGGTCATGCCAAATGACAGCTCAGTCTACATATACACAGGAGCGGGATCCAAGTTTGCTCTAGTAGGTGATCAGACATCACCAAGCTTGCCAATCGTCTTTCTCCTTGTCTGTAAGTCCCTTCACATGGCCAACCCAGACTCTTTACACCAAGGAAGAGAGAAGATGAATGACTGATGTCATCAGTCGTGGACTTTCGGTTTTATGGGCAGATTCTTGATATCTGAGGTCAGCCCGAACTAATCTTTCCCAGCAGTGGAGTCCTCACTCCGCCATTATAGGTCGAGACAGCTTCAAGGTCCAGTCCCACCACTGTTCTGGTAGCCAGCTCCAGCAAGTAAACAAAACAGCACCATTGCCTCCCAAAGAACTTGTATAGAGCATAGTCGGCACCAGGCAGCAATTCACCTCTGATCATCCTCACTGGCCATGTCATATCATTTTCACCAACACAGAAAAATTGACCACGATACTAGGTGAAAAGTCATCACCAGGTCCATCCGAGATGAAGGGGTACCACCGTACCACGTATCAATATACCCACCTATTTGGGTGTCATACTTTTATCACTCATCTCTGAAGCTGTCATAAGAAACTGCAACTTCCAGTCCTTTGTTGCATCTGTCTGCTTCTTCCAGTATAGGGGATCAGTAGACCAGGCTTTGCAGCAAAACGAGCATGTTATGGCCATTTAAAAGAGCTGGGAGCATACCAAGCTTGCCATAGAAGGGTGTTTGAAGGACGAGAGATCCCAATTTACTCCAGGCTATCACACGTGCAAAGCGGACCAAAGTGATGGCTGGGCAGCAGACGTCCGTTGGACCATGGGAAAACCTGTAGATTTGAAGTCAGAGCTCTGCTAGGAGCGTCTGCGAGTGGTCATTGAGTCTGGACGACACGCCGTTACGATCTGCTGTACAGATCTGGAAGCAGGAGTCAGTCCATCTATATGATGATTCAATCAAGCCAAAAAGAAGGATTCCAACCTCATGGCTGGACTAGGGTCTCATATCTAGAATCACATCTGAATGAGCATAACCAGCTCAAACCGGAACACAAGAGCACTCATGCCTGGTGGTGGCACCAAATATCGGGCGGAGCAAGTTTACCTGAACCACACTCTCTTGAGATCCCACCATTACACTAAGAGCATGAGGCGCTTTTTATTGTGCAATCCCATTGGAACACTCCTCCAGCGAAGTTGTGTGGTTTGAACGGGAGCTTGTGAGGCTTGAGACTGAGTCATCTTAGGCAGGATAGACTCCTCTAACTAGCCCAGAGTCTATCCCTTGACGAGGCATAGAGACGACCACTCATACCATTTAGCGAGAGGCGTGAGCAATAGACATTGTTCTTGTATACATACTCGTGCTGGTATTTGCTGTTGCCAACCCACTGGACCTTAATCTCGAGGCAGAAGTCCAAGTCAAAAAATCACTTTCCCTGCCCAATTACAGAGCCCAAGTCGTGTGGACATCCACTTGTTGTGCATCAATGCTGGTGTGACTCACAACCTGTCATAGATGACAACCTGTCGTGGTCGACGACCTGTCATGGTGGCTTCCAATAATGACTGACATCCCACTACGGCAGCGGCCAGTTGTGGTAGATGCTTCGGGTGCACCAATGACCTCTTTAGAGGGGTCATTGTGATGGGCATCCTGCTTCAACACGAAGGTCTTGTGCTGGAGGGTCCGAAAACCTTCATTTAAGATCATGCAAAGAACGCACTCATCCTTTCAGCTTGTCTCATTCTTGTAGCTGTCGTGTCAAATATGAATGTGCCTCAGGAGAGGATCGTTCAGTCTATCTTGATGAAGCTGGGGACCTCCAAAATCATGACTTAGCCACAGAATACATGGAGTTTGCTCCCACATCTGCTTCGTGAGGTGAATGCTTCATGGCATCACAGTGCATTCAGTCATGGCTACAACAAACTATAGGGACTTTGTGCACCGGTAATGACCATATTGTTTGATTAACAACTTTGCTTACTTGACTTGCGAATGGTATCGTACGGTATGTGAACGGATAATCGAAGATGAAGCATACATGAGCTCACAACCATCACCATTTCCTCCTCCCTAGCATTGCATGATGATTGCAGAACAAACTTTGCTCCATATGAGAGCACATGCTCGGATTCGAATACCACCTTTTACCGAAACTACCTCTTCGCTGATGCTCACAAAGATGTGTGGCTCTGCTGACCTAGGTGTGCCGACCATGCTTCGCTGGATGATGCTTTTGCCTGGCCTCTATGACACAGCATGACGATTAATGAACGTAGTTTTTCGATTTGATGTCAAGCAGACAACAACTAAAGAGGATGACACGCTTGCAATGCATAAGGCGAACGTGGAAAAAGGGCGCCAAACTGGTACGCGGTGGAGGCGGAGGGTGACAGATGATATTACATCTTCCGTCACACAATACCTGTGTATCGACTGTCATGGTACGTTTCAAACACCCACGAGGGTGGAGCAGTTCTATAATCATCTCGATAGTCGAAACCAGAGCACTGGGACATTGGTGCGGTCGGTGTAGGTGTGATGGGAGTGTAGTGATTAGGAACGGAGTGGTTTCGAGGATCCTTGCCAAAGTACTCTTCTTCTGGCGTGATGGGTGGTGTTGGATATCCATGTTGCATGGTTGACTGGAATTGTGGCTTTTGCGGTGTAGTGTAGCCATACTGTTCGACGTAGGGAGACTTTGGTATCGAAGCATAGCTATGACTTGGCGACGGTGCCCGCTGGGATGCAGCAGCCGCTGCAGCCAGCGCTGCCTGATCAACCAGGAACGTGTTGAGGATACGGGAAACTCCTGAGAATCGACCGGATGCATACTTCCGCGAGAGGATCTCCGAGGGCTGATGCAACTTTTGAGAGAGTTCAACCAAGGTCGTTTCGCAATACCGAGATGCATACTCGCCGGCTCTGGCTTGAGGTCGGCCGAGAATGTGTTTGGAGAGGGCCAATGCTGCAAGAGCGAGCGTAGATGATTGCTTGGACACAAACTCCCGGTGGAATAACCCCATCTCGAGGATGTAAAGTGCGAGATTCTCGGTTTCTGGATCTGGAATGCTGTCCTTGACGGCAAGCTTGAGAAAACTGTCCACAGTAGGGTGACCAACGCTCCAGTCGAGCGTCGATAGCACATGCCATTCCATCTGCAAAAACATATCGTCATCGTAGAGTGAGCAACACATTGACTTGAGCTCCTTGATTGTTGGAACCTTCTCTTTCTTGTCCCCGTACTTGGCAGCAACAAGTAATGCCGCACAACCGACCAACTGGTAGTGTCGCTTGTACACAACTCGTTTCGAGCAGTATCGATCGAGAATATTGACAGTGAGGAAGAGAGTCTCAGGAAGTAGCTGGAATGCCGAATGGGCCTCCACAAGGAAATCAAGCAGGTAGGGCCTCATATACCACTGAATTTCCGTCTGAATATCGATAGAGTCAACGTCTGGTAGGGTGTCGGCCTGGGCAAATGTCAGTCAGGGCAACAAAAAAGTGAGAGCAAGGACCAACGAACATCCATGCGCATCATATGATCTAGTATGTCCTGTTGATATTCGCCTGCGTCTAAGCGAGACAACTCTCCAGCGAGCATGTGCTGCCTCTGACGGGCAACCTCACGAGCGTGCTCTTGATGATTGAATTTTGCTCTGGATGTTTCAAACTCAAAGACCTCTGTGATGCCGCCATCATAGCCACCGTCATTTGAGCCAAGTGATGAGAACACTCTAGAAGCCATGTTTGAGTTTCGATTTGGTTGATGATGATCTGATGTTGAGCTCGCCTGACCTGGCAGAGATGAAAACACAGAATGGTGTGGAGGCGGAAGGCGTGGTGATCACCTAGAAGAAAAAGAGAATGACGAAGGCTAGAGAGTGACAGTTCCCGAGCTAAGGTGATAAAAAGAGCGTGTTGGTGAGACCGATAAAAGAGAGACTGAAAGTGGAATATGACCAGGACACCAGAGGTGGCCAGGAATCGAGTATTAAAAAGAGTTTCTGCTGAAGCTAGAACGTGTGGAGAAGATCTCATTAGCCATTGGAATTTACAAGAAGGGTTTAGACTGAGAGATGAGGGCACCCTTGGGCTAAAGCTTACCTTAGGCTGAAGTGTTGATATCGAAGAGCAACCCTTACCGCTAAAGCAGGAGAACCATCTAGCCTAAAGCTGGAATGAATCTGCAAATTGGTGTGATCTTGCTCTGAGCTTGTCGGAGGTCGAGTGAACGGCTCCAAAGGTCCCCAGAGGTCAGAAGCTGAGGATCTGCCGGGTAAGGCGAAGATACGGGAATGCAAGATCAAGCCAGGGTCAGGCACGAGCACGAGCCCTAAGCAAGGACCTCAGGTTAGGCATAATCTCGAAGTGAGGATGAAGGTGAGTGCAGATGATATAGACTCACCTTCAAATCTAACAAAAACTTCCCTCTCTTATTGCAAGTAAAAGGCAGTAGTTTCTTTCCTGTCATAAGAATGAAATTAGTGTTCTGTCTTGAAAGCTGTTTGAGCACGAGATCGAGAAACAGTGAGTCTCGTCATTATAGACCGAGGACCGCAGATGGCTTGGTGCACTGATCGTTCTGATGTTGAAGCTCGGTTGCCATTCTTCGAGGATCGGCTCCCTGTACAAGAGATTGATGTTAAATTGCCTCTGCAAAAACTCATCCCTTCACTGACCGCCAGGGCAGCAATTCGTTTTCCCAACTTCCGTACATATCGTCAACACCTCAAATGCCTTCAAACCATCCTTGCATAATGCTAATAGACTCGAGCACATACCCGGGAAAGGGGAGGATAACGAAGGCGTCGGCGGGACGTTACAGGACGACTCAGAAAACCCATGGACCTTCAAAAGGCTTCGACCTCATCAAAAGTGCTGCTCATAAACTTTGCAAGGAGTTGACCAGAAGTTTCGTCGTGGGTAGGGTCCTTTCGCAGGCAGTATGGGATCGTTGGCACAGGAGTATGTTCGTTTGCAACTGGCAGAGTGTCGTGGGAGAAGAATGAGAGAAATGGTCCTACCAATTCTGTAATCAAACCCAACACAAACAAATGCTGTCTACCAAAACAGTTGAGAAGATCAAGGCTCTGTCGAAGATGCGTTGATGCTCGAGGCCAATCGTGAGGGCAGGACGTGGTTCGAGAATATCGAAAGGAATACGAAAACGCTCAATGCTGAGGACAAGGGAACAAGCAGGTATTACTAGTGGTCATGGGGAGGTCGGGACCACAATTGGGCTGCTCGAATGTTATATCGACACCGATGGGAACTGAGTTAAGGTCTATGGAACCCAGGGGGTATGAACTCCAATCACACAGACTCGAGACTCGGGTCGTTTTGATCTCTCTCTTTGGCATGCAGAGAGAGGACCAGGGAGGTGAGGAGATGGGGATAGGGAGAGGAGAGTTGGGAGGAGAGGGTGAAACGAATGGTTTCCCTTGAGCTGGTCGAGGAGAGAGAGAAGGAGAGGTGGAGGAGCAAAGTTCTTGGATCTGAGAACTGAGCAGAGCTGCGGGAACGATTGGATGACGCCAGCCACTTTTGGACTGGCCGATGGAGGTCCTAATGTCGCCTAAGGCTTTAGCTCCTGAGACACTCCTAAGGGGAAACTCGCTGATCAACTAGTGACTGGTTGTAGGGCAGTTCCGCTTGGCGTTGAGGCGGCTTTAGGCTTGGTCGATGAGCGGCCTTTGGCTCTTGATTTAGAGGACCCAAACTTGAAGTGTGCATGAAATTGGCTGTTCGTCGTCCCTTACCAGTGTTAAACTCCAAGCGGTAAGATGGCCTGCAGGTTGGCCACTCAATCGCGATGCACCATATCTGGACGCGTTCAAATCAAAGTCTGTCGTGCGCGTACCACAATCTCCACAGAACCGGTGGCTATTAGGAATTGTCGCATGCGCAATAGTTGTATAAAATGTTTCAGAATCATCTAAGTATTACCCTAAAGCCCATACCCTCTGATACAACAATTGTCTTTTCCACAATTTTGCTGGATGCTCATAGCCGCTGTTGAAGCTCTTCATTTGCCTCTTTCAGCATGGCTGATTGTTTTGGCTACTTCGCGTAGATGCTGAATGTACAATACTTGTACATTGATGAGCAGATTGCCGAGACTCATGACAGCATGGACGCGCTTTTGCCGTAACCAAGCGATCAGTATCACCAAAGCTCCCTGTTAAAGCCGTATCAGAGGTTCTTTTCCTTGCTCCACCCCGGTCAGCTGTGCCTCTTTACCATTTTGGCCCACTATTCCCTTGCCTTGCCGAGCATTTCCCTGATTTCGCGCAATGGCTTGCATCTTGCATACAAAAGGTGGATGGTTTGGCGGGATTTTTCATCCATGATCTACCTGGGAGTTCCGTATTTGAACATTTTCTGACCGGGCAAATACGAAGCTTATAAGAGATAAGGAGCCCGCAAGCTGTTGGGTCCTCGAATTTGGCAAGAAATACCGCTTGATATCAACCATTTCAGAAGGCGGCAATGTCTTTTTCCTTTTCTAGAAGAAAGCTAAAGTTTTTTTTTGGCTTCGCCATGGCCATTGAAGCTGCTTGGCAGAGAGCAATCAATGTCATGATTTATATCTTATTGACTGGGGTCCTATGCACTGAGTACATCTGCAGCGGTGAATAATATTGTCGCAGGATTGCTTACACGTCTGCAAGGTATAAGCGGTTCTCCGCGATCAATAAATAAAGATGATGCTAATGATGTACCAACTGCAGCAGAGCAATTATGTCTCGAAGGCAGACGGCTTCCTTGCATACAGGCACATCCAAGTAACCATGGTTAATATTGTTTACTACGTATACATTCTGCATCAAGCGTTCTGCTCAGTGCAGCTAGAATCGATACGCCACCACGTTTCCGTACATGGTGCAGATTATGCCCTGGTCCATGCGTGCTGGAGCTGAGTTGGTGTAACCCAATAACATACTCCGGATATGCATGGTCACAGCCTGTATTTCGTAATTGTTAGTGCTGGCTAGCGTGGCTTCTTCACTTACCAGCTGGCTTCAGCTCCGCTTGACAGCTGCCACAGTTGCCTGATGTACAGACAGGCTTAGGAAGATTTGCTGTGCCAACTATGCTGAGAATTTTAATCTGGCACTCTAGGCATTCATGAAACACCTGTTTCGAATTGTGCTTTAGGACATCCAGGTGACTTGATAGAAGCATATGGTGAACAAAGGAAAGAGGTACAGGTACACAGGTACCGTAGGGTACAGCATACCCCATTCTGCCGCATAAAGATTACTAGTCGCTTATGATTAACTCATTGGACTCCTAACTATCAGCCATGTCGTCAAGTTTAAAACGAGCTCGAACTTTCATTCAACGCGCCAAGCAAGCAAGCAAGAAAAGATTGATCACTTCCAGCCCCTCTCGTTTCAACTTTCACGCGTTCTTTCTCTCCATTCGACCTGGACTCTGCGCTTACAGAGACGCTTCTGCATCCTCTGGAGCCGTTCTTGGGTTCTACCAACCATGGCTCTGCGAGATTCTCTAACGTCAGGTTTGCCTGACGTGACTTGATTGATAACGTCTGGCCTCGACAGTTTGGTGGCAACAGCAACACTTAGAAAGTCCAAGCGTGATCAGACATTGGCCCTACAATTGGATACCTGCCAGGAGTACCGTTTCGTGTGCTTCATTTAAGGATCCTGTCAGGAGACTTCTCCCGCCTTCGCATGATTGCACTAAAATTCATGTCTTTCAGTCTCACGACGTGCCTCTCAAGCCCGAAGAACAAGACTTTGGCGCTGGTTGACATGTGCAGCACCCTTCAGGGTTTGTTCATGGAACCGAAAGCACGAGTCATCGGCATATGTCCTCGTCCGCGGTCAGATCCATCCGAATGGTTCAGACCGGTTCCTGGCCATTTACTTACCTCACGGCCCAGGTCCATCTTCGGAAAATATCTTTGCCTACCTCTTTCGGCTTCCAACGTGTCCGATTGTTGACGTGGCCATAGACATCGTCGATCAAATCATGGATTGGAATGCGGTGAAAATGATTCTCAGTCTCCCTACCACTGACCTGTCGTCAACGGCACACCTGACGAAAGTAGTGAGTTGTTCAAGTGTGGATGAGATGAGAGACAGCTTCCACGGCTAATAATGACCTTCCACCCAGCCGTCCACGTTTCTAACACGCTCGCATCGAGACCAGGGCCTCGATGTTTCCCCAAATACCTTCTACCTAGTCTTGTAGTGCTAGCTGCCAGTGTTTCATCGTCGTGCTCGAACCCTCAGCAGCCGCGAAAATTGAAGGTACCCCCTTGCGCCAACCAAGCATGTCTCTTAACCCGCTTCAGGGAAGGCTCTGGTAGCTTGCCCCTTGTAGTTTCTCTATCTCATAGAAGAACCACCCTGTTCCTGGTATTGCTTATACCAACCATGTGTGCCCAGAATATATTCTCTTTTCTCTCCATCACTTCGATAGGGCTACTGTGCTGAACCCAGGTCTGATACTGTACCTAGAAGTTTTGTACCGACCTCACCAACAAGAACAAGCTCTTCCACTTCACCACGCTGATTTCATGCAGGCAGATTTGGCATGGTTTGAACACCACTCATCAAGAGCTCTTGTGCAAATTGCCCTTCAAATGCGGACCTTCGTCGTACCTCAGTCACCAAGTACGGGTCAAGATCTTGATCGACTCCTGCTCCCTCAATCCAAGCACGGCTTAGTCCTCTCGAACGTTGTCTGACAATATCAGACCCCGAGCACTCGTATTACCATGGGAAAGACCTACAGGGTTGGCTTCATTAAGGTATTGTATCCGCGGATCACCATGATATCGTCAAGAAATCCTTTGGGCATAGCTCATTCAGCCTCTTATAGACAATGAAACGCGTTTAAAGCATCCTCACATCCATACATACGCACGATATAATCTCGTAACCAGCATGACGACTGGCTATCGAGCGAATCACGCTCATTCCAGTTGCAACCTTCGCAGCCCCTGCTTCCTGAATACTGTGAATTCCCCTTTAATCTGTTTCAAGAGAAAAACTACATCATCATTCTGTGTCAACGAAGTACTCGACGAAGTACTCGAGGTTATATCTCTCCGGCCTCCAAATCCACATGTTCAAAGGTTGCTGCTCTGGGGTTGAGTACCGCTTGCCACTACGGTTAACCGACATGCTGCCCTAATGCAAAGTTAGGGACTGTTGTGCTATCATTCAGTATAACGAGCAGGCTTCCGTTGACGATAATGATTCTAGCCGGTGGATATTTTCATCGTATTTCTTTGAAGCTCTGACTTGGAGGGTGTTAGTGTGTTGTAGGACACCGTTGGGTGGAGGTTACTGAATGGTCAATTACAGAACCGGATTCATTATTTGAAGTTGAAGTGGTATTTCAAATGCCGGGTGGCACGGCGAGTCCAGTAAAAATAGTGGATAGATCAAACTACGTAGAATGAAAACGTCGTCAAAAAGACATTTTATATAGTTGTAGTAAAACACGGACTGCTCTATCTTTCTGTCCGGTCCAAGCTCAAGCTCAACACCGTCCCTGCCTATAATTATACGCAAACGCATTCCAGATGCCCACCAGATGCACTACCGTAGCCAGCACGACCAGCACATGGAAAATATTATGCGAGCAGCCCCAGATATCAAATCTGCCCGGTCTGATGGATTCGGGCCAACGCGTGCCATAGAAGAAGGCACTCAGGACCAAGATCCCTCCTTCGAGGAGATAATACGGCATTCCCGATGCCACCCACATTCGGTTCCAACCGTAGATGATAAGGCCGTGAGCAAGGGGTATGAAGCCGGAGAGAGCGAGAGTGACGAAGGCGGTGACGCGGAGGTTGCGGTATTCGAGGCCTTGGAAGTATTTGGGGTGGATGACGAGGATTGAGGTTAGGATTCCTAGAGCTATTGTCTGGAGGTTACGGAATAAGTATTAGCGAGATTGCTCCGAATAGAGATAGGGGGCTGTGAGGTGGAGAAGGGATGGATGTATGGGGAGGTAAATGACTTTGAAAAACGTACCATGCTCCAGTAAATCTTCTGCAGAGTAGGCTCGCAGTAAAAGCCGACTCGAATCCCAGAAATAAAATCACCTAATATCAAAGCCAAGATACCGACGTAATCTAGCCGGAGCCATAGGTACGACACGCCCATGGAATGATTCATCAACGTATGGTACAGGAACGATAAGGACATGGTAATGCAAGCAGAAAGCAGGAAGAACGAAAAGACAATGTAGTCGAGGGATTTTGCTTCGGGAAACCTTTGATGCAGCAGTACCAGCATGAAGGATTGTGCGAGCAGGAAGACAATTGCTGGTATCATATGCGTATATATATTGACCGTCTCATTGTGCATATAGGTCAGACTAGCGAAGCAGGTGGACGTCGAGAATGACTCCGGGCGATAGCCGCCGATGATGTATTCGTTGTCTTTGTACCATGCGGGAAGCTCATCGTACGTTATGAGATCAGGCTGCTTCTGACATGTCGCGTGATGGCTTGAGATATGTTGAGCTTCTCCATTATGAAAGCCATTGCTGTTTTCAGATTCGGGCTTGAGGGCAGCTCGCTTTCGGTGACTCGTCATGGAAGGCCTCGTAGGGGTATTTAATAGACCCTCCTCAAGGGTGGCGTCCAGACTTCCACTTTCGCCTTCCTCGTTCATCTGCCCTCGTTAGTGGTCGATTATTTCAATTGGGCTTCCCTCAAGGCTCACTATGCCATTCATCCACACATTCTGGACAACTCCTCAGATCTGTTTGTGGCAAACATCCTGAAGCTCTCGAGCAACAGCCCACAATGACGGATCCGCTCATTATTGTATCAGAAGTGGCGGGTGCGCCAATGGTGCTGCAAGCAAGACAAATGCAGGTAAGTTCACGGGTTTAGAGTGTTTGGACCCCAAGGGGTGCGACCGCACCAGAGTGACATCTCCCCTACTCCGTACTACTACTCCAATCTTCATCAATGAATACGTTTCAACCATCTATTCGCGGATGGTGCGACCTGCAATATAGATTTGACTTCGTCTGGCGGTAGGTCTGCAGCGACATCAATGCCGATCTGCACATTGCGAGGATTGCGTATCAGAATAACCCAGCATGTCCTTGCAAGCAGTTCTCTCTTCGAGTTTCCTGCAATGTTTTCCTTACTTGACATCTGCGATTTCTTCTCGAGTTCTTCTTCAAATGGTCACGCTTCTCCGGGTTCTGCTGCCGTCTTGAATGTTGTCCTTTGTTCCTTAAATGTTCTGTTCTAGTGACTCCCCAGTCTTTTCACCTAATCTTACTCGCATCGATGGCTGGGTCGACCAGCCGAATACTAGAGGAACACTTGACATTGTCTGGACAAGCGTCTTTACGATATTCATATGTACCTTCACGCTCCTCTGCCTCAATCTTCCAGCAGCCAACGATACGGCATGGCAAATGACAGCTCGCAAGCTTTTCTGGATGAGCCTTGCTATTGCAGGACCTGAATTCGTCCTCACAGCTGCGTGTGGACAATTAGGCACTGCTCAGGAGTCCATCAAGGCCTTCACCGAGCTCGGTTATCCCCAATGGACCATCAGACACGGGTTTTTCGCTGACATGGGAGGTTTCCTCTTCGTTCCACGTGATAGCACACCTTTTCCTGTCACTTCAAAGCATCTACACTGGTTGGTCTCACGGAGGTATCTTTCTTACCCGGATGTATCTCCGAAAGAGATATGGGACAAATCCAAGCAGGATACGGTAGCCAAGCTCATTTCGTGCTTCCAGATTGGTTATCTGATGGTGCAAACTTTGGGTCGAGCCGGACAACGTCTCGCCATCACGACCCTGGAGCTATCTGCATTGGCTATAGTCGTATGTTCAATTATGACCAATATATGCTGGTTACGCAAGCCTGCGGGTGTCTTGACCCCAATCCGCCTCTATTCGGAGTTGAGCCTGGAGGAGATCTTGAAGGATGCTGGCGTTGCTGACCTGCCATGGAAACAAACCCCGCTGGACTTTGTCGACGATCTCGGACCAAGTTGGGCGTTGAATGTACAACCTTTCATGGGAATGCCAGTAGGCCCACATGAGAGACCAATGCCGAGATTTGGTAATGACCGGCTCCCAAATTTGAACGGTCGCCACGAGACGCTTCTCTGTTTCGCAACACTCGTCTACGCCGCAATCCACCTAGCAGGCTGGAATTTCGAATTTCCCACCCGAACCGAGGGTATACTCTGGCGAGCATCCAGCTTGTTCATCTTTGTCAACACGGCAGTATTCTGGCTCTGCGAAACTGCAGCAGCCTGGCACCGCAAAGGCCGGTGGCAGAGATTCTTCTACCGGGTCCTCGATCCCGAAAGACTGGAGGAGGTGGAATCTGCTCGACTACAGAAACTCGCCAACCAAGAACCGAAACAGCTGCCGTTAGCTTGGGAGTTTTGGACCATTACCCCTTTAGCGATCACATATGCTGCTGCCCGGGGTTATCAGATCATCGAGGCGTTTATGGGGCTACGGTCGTTGGAGCCAAGTGCTTATCTGAATGTGGAGTGGTCGAATTATATACCGCACATTTAGTTGGACTGATGGGTGTTGACGTGGGAAATCTCGATCAGAGTAAACTCCCTTTGTATATCGCGGGTAAGGGGGGGAGTTTGGCAAGTCGTTCGGCATGAGAGCATTCATAATATGCTTTAATTGCATGAGAAATGCATCTCAAGGAGTTTTCGGACAGCATTTGCCTGTTTGGGCTGCCTGTATATAATGACACCATCTACTAGCAGTTCCAGCGTTTATCTTCCATATTCCACCCCTCGCTGGGGGTTCTATACTCCCATCTTCCCTTAACAAAACATCATTTCTCTAACTTCGATTTCTCGACCCGGCAAATGAATCGAAGCGTTTTGAGGCAATTGGCACGGCCACCGAGTAAATGGGTATGTATCACCAGCGGCATATTAATGCCACTTAGTAGTAGGCCTGGGGTAGCTGGATAGACGATTATACGTTGCTGCCCATCTCCCCTTCCCGAATGACGGGTCATTTTATCCTTTCCTGCGCTCTCGCTCGGACATTTGAATCCGTAGATTCTCCGTTTTCGTAGTCAGCTGCCCTTACTGCACACCTACCCATCTATCTGGACCATAAACCAGCCGAAAAATGTGGCTTCCACCCCTCCCACTCAACTAGCATGGCTTTCCCTCCACCTCTCCTTCTTCGGGCGAAGCCCATACATCCTGACGGGGTACAAGCCCAAGCCCTTGGGAAAGCCGGTCTGCAATTCCGACCTCACGACCTCGAGCCCCGCGTCGGCGAACAGGCGTCTAAACTTGTCATCCGTGCGCGTGACGCTGCTGTCGAGTTCGTCGTAGATATCGCCGCCGGAGGGGTCGGTGGACATGTTCTCTTTGACCACGATCCAACCACCGCCGCCTCCTTCGCCGACGCCGTTGTCGTTGGAGGTGGAATCTGAATCGGGGTCGGGAGCTGGTTGGAGGATATGGACGCAGCGACGTAGGTAGGCGGTCAATTGTGAATCCGTCAGGTGGCCGAGGCACCACTGGTTCCAGATGAGGTCGTATTTGTCCCCATCTCCATGGTCCCCCGCTCTCCCTCCCACTCTCCACCTTGCCCTTCCTCCAGACCAGCAGTAGTAGTAGTAGCAGGCCACCCCTCCAGCCCGCTAACCCACACCGTCC